GCCCGAAACGTCAGCCTCTCTGCTCCTATGATGCTGCTTGGCCTGCTGTGTTCATCCAGCCCCGCACAATGATGATAAGAGAATACCTTTTCATGCAAAAGTGGTTAACATCAGGAATGCAGTGTGCCTGAGAAGGTGAAGGAAAATTCAGTCATGGATTTCAAAGGGAAACTGGAAAAGCACTCTAAGACGAATCTGAAAAATGGACAGTGAAAGGGAAGGTACAGGGGAGTGAGTCTGACTCAGTTACATTTGCAGACAGACAGCTCAAGCATGATGGCCCAATAGTCTCCTTCTTTGCTTTAACCATCCTCTGATTCCAGGAACAAAAACAAAAATTGCTGGAAAAGCTCAGCAGGCAAAGCCTCCGCAGAAGGGTCCTCAAAACATTCTGAAGAAGGGTCACTGGACCCGAAACGTTAACTCTGATTTCTCTCCACAGATGCGGCCAGTCCTGCTGAGCTTTACCAGCAATTTCTGTCTTTGTTTCTGATTTCCAGCATTTTCAGTTTTCTCTGATTGTAGGACTTTGAAAATGTTGTTCCTCATACTTACTGTAAAATGTCAAATACCCAAATACAGCTGTAAGCAGGTAGATGGCAAACATTGAGAAGAAGGATATCACTGAAACAACCTGCATTTTTTTGCAAGTGTGACTGAAAAAGAAAAAAAAATCAATTTATGTTCAAGACCACTAGAGTTACAAATTCACATTAAATACATTTTTAATTGAATGTACTTACTCTTTAAGTTCACGATAGATGGGCAATACTGATGGATGACACACGAAAGCAAAGGCCATGGTGGGCAAAGCATAGACTGTCTGGAAATAAAACAACAGTTCAAAGTTATACATAAATGCAAACCAAAATCAACTACAATATAAGTTTAAGAGTAACAAAGCACACGCACATTTAAACAGAAGACACAAACACTTAAACAGTAAACACTGTTCTGTTGAGAATATTTTAAATTGAGCAAGCTGAGTAATTAATTCTGAGAAAAATGGGTAGTCACATGTTCTCTGGCATCAGTCAAAATTAACCACTCAACAGGGGTAGAGGATGGCCTTGTGGTGTTATCACTGGACTGTTAATCCACAGACCCAGGTAACGTCCTGGGTCCCCAGGTTCAAGTCCTACCATGGTAGAAGGTGGAATGCGAATTCAATAAAAATCTGGAATTAGGAGCCTAATGATGACCATGAATCCATTGCCAATTGTCAGGAAAAAAAACATCTGGCTCACTAATGCCCTTTAGGGAGGGGAAACTGCCGTCCTTACCGGGTCTGGTCTACATGTGACTCCAGACCCACAGCAATGTGGTTGACTCTTGACTGCCTCTGGGTAATTAGGGAGGGACAATAAATGGTGGCCTAGCCAGTGACACCCTCATCACATGAATGAATTGAAAAAAAAATGGATTACTTGTTATTCTGTAAAAACACATTAGATCCATACTAAGGGGAGTAGGGTCCAAATATTCAGTCACAACTAAATTAACATTGAAGATAATTCTGAAAAATCACAGGAGACTGAAAGTTGATACAGCTAAGGTGGTGGAATGAGCAAATAAAGGTTGAGATAGGATTTGATTCCAGTGATTATGGAGTGGGTCGATTTGGTTTTAAACAATTATTCATTCAATAAATGAATGTTAGGTGATGCTGAAGATCAGAGGGATTTGCACAATCAGGCTCATGTGACTACAGAAGAGTCATACAGTCATAGAGATGTATAGCATGGAAACAGACCCTTCGGTCCAACATGTCCATGACAACCAGATACACTAAATTAATCTAGACCCATTTGCCAGCATTTGGCCCATATCCCTCCAAACTCTTCCTATTCATGTACCCATCCAGATGTCCTTTAAATGTTATAATTGCACCAGCCTCCACCACCTCCTTTGGCAGCTCATTCCATACACGCATCACCCTCTGCGTTAGGTCCCTTTTAAATCTTTTCCCTCTAACCATAAACCTATGCCCTCTTGTTTTGGTCTCCCCTACCCTGGGGAAAGATCTTGGCTATTCACCCTGTCCATATCCCTCATGATTTTATAAACATCTGTGAGGTCATCTAAAGGCAACAAATTCAGTTTAAAGGCCATCTAGGAAAAGGCTGATGGAATATTGGGCTTTGTCTGGCATGTGGTAATATGTTGAATCTCTATAAAAACTATACAGATCCGTAGCTGGGGCGAGATTTACTTGGGCAGCAAGAGCCCCGTGATAAGCTGGAAGAATAAGAGAAACCTCTGCTTTGGTTGTTTGGAAGAGACATTTTAGCTCCATTAGGTACAAAGTAGTTGCTATTGGAGCACCTGTCCATTTAAAAGACAACAGCCCATTCCCAAGAGCAGATGGCCAATTGGAGCTGCTGGGGGAGGTGGCCAGTACTGGGATTGTTCCAGGTTGAGACAGCACAACTATGGATGTTGTCCTCACAACTCGATAAGTGAAGCGTGGGGTTGTCAGCACCAGTCCGGCGTGCCCCAAGTGAGTAAAGGACTGTTGCTGCCCAAGTAAGTTGGTGAACCCCACCTTTCTAAGGCCTCAAGAATGACAGAATCCCTACAGTGTGGAAGCAAGCCATTCAGCCCATCGAGTCCACTTCAAAGAGCATCTCATCCTGACCCATCCTCACACTGCATTTCACATGACTAATCCACCTAGCCCACTCATGCCTGAAAACTATGGGCAACTTAGCATGGCCAATCCACCAATCCTGCACATCTTTGGACTGTGAGGAAACCAGAGCGCCTGGAGGAAATCCACACAGACATGGGGAGCATGTGCAAACTCCAACCAGACAGTCACCTATGGGGGAATCAAACCTGGCAGCGGTGCTAACCACTGAGCCACTGTGCCATCAAAACTTCCAAGGTTCACCTGGCAGTATCTCCACAGACCAGAGGGCCCAGCTACCACTAGTAAAAAGCCAGCAGTGATGTGAAGAGTCCTTCTTTAGCCATTAAAGCAGCTCAGTTTGCTAACCGTTGTGGGGTCTATGGCATAGAAACATAGATTTAAGATTAAACGTATGTGATTTAGCACAGCAAGAAGAAAAGGGCCAAGTTTATGTTACGTTATATTGTCAACATTTGTAACTTCTTGTTCTATAGTGGTTCCTTCCACCACATACTACTCTTGCACCCAGATCTTTTCCAGCATCACTCTTGAACTGATGTCTGCAGGACTTAAGGGAGCTCCACAGATTAACTATCCATGTGCGCCCCCCCCAACTTTTGTCTTGTGTGTAGCCTATTCATTTGAATGTGGAGTGCTTTTAATTTTGTTGTACAACCAGTTCACTAGCAGCATTTTAAAGGGGATAACTTGGGAGTTGCTTGTTTAGTATCTTCCATGTTGCTGCACGCCGATGCATAAAGGACATTGTTGGCTATTTTGCCTTATCTTCTTCACACTACATGCATTGACATAACATTTACAATCATAAGAATTACAGCGAGTTCTCCCAATGCATATTATTGCAATGGTAATACAGTATAGAGTCATAGAGTTGTACAGCACAGAAGCAACTCGGTTCAACTCGTCCATGCCAACCAGATATCCTAAATTAAACTAGTCCCATTTGCCAGCATTTGGCCCATATCCCTCTAAACCGTTCCTACTCATGTACCCAATATGTATTCCTACTCATGTACCCAATATGTACTCTTAGTAATGGGAATACCTAATGAGACGCATTATTACTTTAATAATAGAAACCCTGGCATACTTTCAAATTCAAACACTAATCATGAAACCAAAAAACTGGTACCTTATCATTCCAGACAAAATATTCTGGTGTGCACACAGGTGTACAAGCAAGGTCTGTAATATTAGTTGATACCAAAGTATCACAGAAAACTTGGGTCTGTTTGTAGATAACCTGAAATCAAGGCAAACAATCACAGTTTCTTATGTTTATAAGCACAGCTGCCAAAATATATTTAACATTTTTCAATCTAGATATCTATTATATAAATTCCACAACCGTTTTCCAACTCTTCCAGTAATGTATTTTTTAGGCCTGGTCTTAGAACAAAGTGATACAAACAAAATATTGTGAATGCTGGAAATCTAAAATACAAATAGTAAGTCCAAGTAGTGAACTATACTTGACTCACAATGTTGACTTTGTTTTTCTTCCACCACATTTGTCGCCAGTAATTGCAGTGTTTCCAACTCAAGCTACTTCAGATCAGGGTTGAGGATCTGGAGTTGGAGCTACAGACATTGCACTGCACCAGGAAAGGGAAACCTTAAACCTGGACACTTTGCTCCAGGAGGCAGTCACACTCCTTAGTTTAGGTCATTCAAAGGTTGGTCTACAATCAAGGACAGGAGACTGCAAGTGAGGCAGGTATGGGGACCCAAGGATCAGCTCCTGAGGAGCCTCTGTCCCTGTAATTATCCAACAGTTATGATATTCTTACAAGTTGTGTGGACAAGAGACCACGGCACTGTTGCACAGTGAACCATTCAAGTTGGGGGAGAAAATAAAAATGTAGCCATGATCTCACTGAATGACAGGGGATAGCCTACTTCTGCTCCCAAGTCTTCTAGTCTTATTTTCAATGCTTTCTGTTTTTATTTATAACAATGTAGTTGGTTTAACTGAATGACACAGGATTATTACTTACAACAATTAGGAAGAAAATCATACAGGCAAGTGAAAATCCACTAGTGTATCCAAGGTATCCTACAAAACATGAGAAGACATTATCTTGAATATTGGTGCAATCTACAACAGCAAGATAAGAAAGAAATTCCATTTTTGGTCCTCATATCCTGAAGTACCTTTCCATCAACAGAAGAATTACACTAATATTAATAATGCCTTTGAATTCAAAGAAATTAAAAGAAGTTAAAAAATGCTACTACTTTTTGGCCTTGCAAAGCTCAATGATCAGATATTACAAAGTATTAATCAATGATCTTCTCAACCACTCCACATTGTCTACTTTGATGCCCTCGGCTCCACTGAAACTCTCATCTGATTTGATTTATTTGTACTTATGTGTAACTTAACTGAAACACAAGATCCTGAAAGGGGAAAACAACAAAAAACTGCAGATGCTGGAAATCTGAAACAAAAACAGAAATTGCTGGAGAAAGTCAGTTCTGAAGAATGTTCACTGAACTCGAAACATGAACTCTGTTTTTTTCTCCACAGATGGCTGCCAGATCTGCTGAGTTTCTCCAGCAATTTCTGTTTAAAATCCTTAGAGGACTTGACCCACTGGGTTTCAAAAGGATGTTTTTCTCTTGGTCACAGTTTAAAAATAAGGGGTCACCCATTTAAGACAGAGATGAAGGAACATTTTTTTCTCCCAGAGGGTTTTGAGTCTTTGGAATTCCCTTCCTCAAAAGGCAATGGATGCAGAACCTTTAAATTTTTCTAAGGCAGTGGTAGAGCGATTCTTGATGACCAAGGAGAGGAAACATGATCAGGGGATACGCGGGAATATTGAGGTTAAAATCAGATCAGCTATAATCCTATTGAATGGTGGAGCAGGCTCAAAGAGCTGAGTGACTTACCCTCGTTCCTTATTCACGTGTACTCAATAAGCTATCATATAAGCCCCAAAGTGAACCTCTTAATTGCCACAGGAATAATCTTTACCCCATGAGTATGCTAGTCTGATGAATTATGCTCAGTATCGTAATAAATTTGTCTTCACTTACAGAGATAAATTGAAATATGTTATTGCTGGGTCATTAGATACTTACCGATGTTCTTGAATAGACACAAGGGTAGAATAATGATTAAAGTCACAAGTATAACAAGGTTATGGTCAACCACATACCATGCTCTGAAAAGAAGATAAAAGAGGTATTAGTATCAGCATTACTGAACAACATTTTGCAACTGACTGCTACCTTTCTTCTTCAAAACACTTGCAGACACACTCATTTGCAAAGTTAGAAACTATTAACAGCTGGCCAGCACACAGCAGATCTTTGCAGAGACGTGCAAAGTACTGAATAGTTCTGTAAATGAAATTAAAAACAAACTGTTTCCTGTGCCAGAAGGATTGGGAACCAGAGAACACAAACATTACAGTAATTGGTCAAAAAACCAGAGGTGACATGACCACCTCCAAGCCCAAAATTATTACCATCGAGAAGGACAAGGGCAGCTGATACTCTGGAACACCACCACCTACAAGTTCCCTCCAAGCCTTTGACAAAGTGCTGCACAAGAAGCAGTTAAATAAGAGCCTTTGGCGTTAGTGCCAAGGTACTGACATGGATAGAGGATTGGCTGACTGGCAGAAAGCAGAGAGTCGAGATAAAGGGGTATTTTTCAGGGTGGCAGGCAGTGACTATTGGAGTTCTGCAGGGGTCAGTGTTGGGACTACGACTATTCACGTTCTACATTAACGATCTGGATGAAGGAACTGAGGACATTGTTGCTAGGTTTGCAGATGGCACAAAGATAGACTGAGGGGCAGGGAGGCTGCAGAAAGACTTGGACAGGCTAGCAGAGTAGGCAAAGAAGTGGCAGATGGAATACATTGTGGGAAAATGTGAGGTCATGCACTTTAGTAGGAAGAATAGAAATGTGGAATACTTTCTAAATGGGGAAAGGCTTCAGAAATCTGAAACACAAAGGGATTTGATAGTCCTAGTTTGGGATTCTCTTAAAGTTATTATGCAGGTTCAGGGAGGCGATGGCCTAGTGGTATTATCGCTGGATGGTTAATCCAGAGACCTAGATAATGTTCTGGGGACCTGGGTTTGAATCCCGCCACAGCAGATGGTGGAGTTTGAACTCAATAAAAAATATCTGGAATTAAGAATCTAATGATGACCATGAATCCATTGTCGATTGTTGGGTAAACCCACCTGGTTCACTAATGTCCTTTAGGGAAGGAAACTGCCATCCTTACCTAGTCTGGCCCACATGTGACTTCAGACCCACAGCAATGTGGTTGACTCTTAACTGCCCTCTGGACAATTAGGGATGGGCAATGAATGCTGCCCTAGCTAGTGACGCCTTCATCTCATGAATGAATAAAGGAAAAACAAAAGTAGGCAGTTAGGAAAGCAAATGCAATGTTAGCATTCATTTGAAAAGACTGGAATACAATATCAAGGATGTACTACTGAGGCTGTATAAGGCTCTGGTTAGATCACATTTGAAATACTGTAAGCAGTTTTGGGTCCTATATCTAAGGATGTGCTGGATTGGAGGTGTTGCAGAGGAGGTTTACAAGAATGATCCTGGAGATGAAGGGCTTTTCGTAGGAGGAGCGGTTGAGGACTCGGGTTAAATACTCGATGGAATTCAGAATGAGGGAAGTTGAATGGAAGCTGACAGAAAGGTCAGGGCAGAGTGGACATAGAGAAGATCTTTCCACTAGTGGTAGAGACTGGCACCCAAAGGCACAGCCTCGGATGGAAGTGACGATCCCTTAGAAATGATATGAGGAGGAATTTCTTCAGCCAGAAGTTGGTGTGTCCGTGGGGCTCATCACTGCAGAGGGCTGTGGAGGCCGAGTCATTGAGTGTCTTTAAGACAAAGATAGGTTCTTGATCAGTAACAGATCAATAGTTACAGGAAGAAGGCAGGAGAATGGGGATGGGAAACATGTTAGCCATGTTGGGATGGCAGAGCAAACTTGACAGGCTGAGTGGTCTAATTCTGCTCCTATATCTGATGGTCTAAGACACTCACCATCCTGACTTGGAAATATATTGTCATTCCTTCAGTGTCACTGGATCAAGATCCTGGAATTCCCTCCCTAATGGCACTGTTGGTCTACCTACAGTAAACGGATTGCAACGGTTCAAGAAGACAGCTCAGTACCACCTTATCAAGATCAATTAAAGGTGGGAAATAAATTCTGGTCCAGTCAGCAAAACCTACATCCTACAGTGAATAAAAGAAACAAAAAGTTGGAAGGATGAGTAGGAATGGAGGATTAGGCCAGGTAGCACACCAGGAGAGAGACAATGGTGCTGTGAGATACCCACAGAATGCACAGACACTTCTGTCAAAAATTGAACAAGATGAAACTTTGACCATTGCCAACATTGATAAAAAGACAATAAAGAGATCTAGGCTTTTGCTATCTGATACAGCAGGAACTGCAGATGCTGGTTGGCCTGCTGTGTCAGATAGCAAAAGCCTAGATCTCT